TATATATATATATATATATATATATCCCACATTTTCTTGATCCATTTATCTACTGAGGGGCATCTGGGTTGCTTCCATATCTTAGCTATGGTAAATAATGCTGTGAAAAGCATAGGTGTGATGGTAGCCTTAGGATGGCCTTGTTTTTGATCATTTGGGGAAATGTCCAAAAGTGGGATTGCTAGGTCATAGGGGAGCTCTATGTGGAGTCTTCTGAGGAACCTCCACACTGTTTTCCAAAGTAGTTGAACAAGTTTACACTCCCACCAACAATGCAGTAGAGTTACCTTCTGGCCACATCCCCTCCTGCATCTGTTGTTATTAGTGTTCTTGAATTCAAACCAAAATGGTTAGTAATCATGAAGTACCACCAAATGATCAGTAATTATGAAGATCAAATTCTTTCCTCAAAGTTAGATGCCAAAATTCACTTCCTGTACTATGTCTTTCTTTACATTTTGAGGCAGGAACCTATAAGACGGACAAGGCCAGGAAAAAGTGGTTCTTTAAACTGGTTGATCCCTGATAAACTATAAATATTGTGGCTGAGTAATAAGGATGTGTAGCCAATATCAAAGAAAAGTCATGCATTCTTTAAATAACATTTAAATTTTATAGAGCAGATTTTTTTCAGAAGGAAGATACATGATCTGAACAAATGTTTTGAGGTAAGCTAATATCACACTGAAGAGATTATTTGAAACATATCAAACAATTGAATATGTCAAACAGTAAAGAAATAACACCTATTTTTTACACAGGACTAAAATCGCTTTAATTCCTACACTGTATTTTCCCTATATGCGGTTTATGAAAGATTAATGGCCACTTAACATTTAGTACAGCTTTTACTTCTAGAAAAAGCTGTTGGCTCAGTTACAGCAGGTTTTGACTTCTTAGCCATTGGCACCTGGGGAAAATGATTGACATGCTTGGCTCTGTACCCAGGGATGGCACCATTCATCCTGTGACATCCCCAAACTGCAAGTAAAAACTATTACAGGAATAATCTATATTCAAGAGGATGAGCCTAGACAATTTAATCCTATTTTAGATATGGGAAATGCCATGCTTCCCATAAAGCTACCATTTCTTGAACAAAACCATTTTAAACATCAGGGGAACGTTGCCATGTTATTAAAAACTACTATATCCATTTAAAAAAACCCTCATCATTTGTAAACCTGACAGAGAAAGCATAGGATTCTTCATGCAGTAGACTCTAAATCACTACTTCACAGTAAAAATCTCAAATCACTTCAAAATATGAGTTAAGTGATCCAGGTGATTCAGGTCTAAAGTGATAGTTTTTTAAACAAACACAGCTTTGAAAAATCTTGAGAAGTTAATATGCATATTACCTGGTAGTTGTTTTGGTTTTGTGATAACCTCAATTGGTTTGATGATGCAAAATGTGGAGAAAAATTATTCCGTGGATTGGTATTACTGTACATTGTATTAGATGCTGTATGTAATGAGGTCCGAGGTGTCAAATGGTAGTCTCTGTTTTGAAACAGTACATTGTCTGAAAAATCTCTAATATTCAACATTTGTGAATTTGGCATATTTCTTCCTGGTCCAGGCAAAGTTGTACTTTGGTTCTCAGTTCGAAGGGAACTACCACTTTCATAATATCTTGAGTAGTTTGGGATCTGTGCTCCCATAGATGCCAACTCTTCTTCTCTGGCATATTCATCCTCAGCATCTCCAGTCTCCATTGCAATGGATAAACAAGTTCCTTCTGCTGAGCTGGGCTTCTGTGTGGCAGTTCCTCCCAGAATTCTCTGGGGGTAATCACTGACAGCCAATGAAAATACTTCACGGATTTCCAAGTTTTGTGTTCTACAGAAAGGGTCTCTAATAGTTGATTTTTGCCCACATAAGTTATGTGATGCCACACTTGTGTTTTCAGGCTTATATGACCTTTGAATCCCAACTGGTTCAATTTTGCAAGGTCGATGGCATACAGATGGTTTTGCAGGTCCTGACATTTCAGAAGCATGCACTGAAGAGCTTCCATAGTTTTTCTTTGTGTGATTATATACTGAGTTTCCAGCATTTAACACACTTGTCTGTCTTGACAAAATAATTGTTTTTTCACCCAAGAGCAGTGAGGCATTTTTACAGTGTGCTACTTGTCTTTGAACAGGTATATGCAACTGAAACTCAGTATCATTTTTACTGGAGGCTTTCTGACTGGGAATGTTATGTGCTTCTGTAATTTGTGGGGTTGTATGTTTGGTCGTCCCTTGTTTACTTGATGAACTACTTGGGCTGTATATACCAGTTAAAATGACATCATTATTGGCAGAAGTCCAAGAGGATTGTTGGCTTGAGGGTCCAGCAATATTAACCACATTTCTGACTGTATTGTCTGGAGCTGTCAAAGAAGTACCAGAAACAGTTCCTGTGCTTGCTCCTGATTCAGAATTCTTACTACTCATTTTTCTTCGCTTATTGCCAACCCACGTCTGAAAAGATTTAAAACAAGTATTATGAAAAAATTTACAAACCAAGAAAACTGTTTTCTAAATGAAAATTATGTTCTTACTGGTCATTTAAACTAACTAAAAGGAAAAAAACGATACAATGCTTTTTAAAGTGATTAAGGACTCACCTAATAAATATCTAGTTACTTTGATAACTGGAAGTATTACTGGTCCTCTCTGCCACAAGCCCACTTAATTTAGATAGATAGATAGATAGATAGATAGATAGATAGATAGATATAGAGGATTTGTTGTTGGGGGATTTAATTTTTTGAGTTCCAAGTATATTTTTAGATAGATAGATAGATAAAATAGTTTATATGTAAATTATTGTTTTTGTATTTATAATTCAAAACATTATTTGTTCAAAGTACACTGAAAGAAGCTATGGAATTACCAAAAGGAAATCCCTTATACTATTAATGTTTGCCAATTAAAATAATAATTAAAAAAATTCAAACTGTTCATATCTTTTGTGCTAGAAAACAAATTTCTAGAAAATTATCCTAAAATGTATTCACAGATGTAGGCAAAAGTATAGAAAGGTATTCTACATTGTATTCTGTATTCATGCATAAGAGTAAAAAGTTGAAAGCAGTGTGTGAGCCACTGGTGTCCAACTTTAAAAGTAAGATTTTTTTTTTTTTTTTGTCGGTCATGGGACCTGAACTCTGGGACTGGGAGCACTGTCCCTCAGCTCTTCAGCTCAAGGCTAGTGCCTTACCACCTGAGCCACAGTGCCACTTCTAGCTTTTTTGTCTGCTTATATGGTGCTGAGGAATCGAACCCAGGGCCACATGCGTGCAAGGCAAGCAATCTACCACTGAGTCACCTTCCCAGCCTCTAAAAGTAAGTTTATTTTTAACATAATTAGAAAGTACTCTTGGTTGGGCATTGGTTCACATCTGTAATCCTAGCTACTCAGGAGGCTGAAATCGGAAGATCACAATTCAAAACCAGACTGGTGAGTAAAGTCCATGAGACTCTTATCTACAATTAACCAGCAAAAAGCCAGAAGTAGAACTGTGGCTCAAGTGGTAGAGAGCCCTACCATGAGCACAAAAGCTCAGGGACAGTATCCAGGTCCTGATTTCAACCCTCAGGATTAGTACCAAAAAGGAAAAGAAATGAAAATATTCTTTGTATCATTAAAACAACTATACATTTGCAATTTTCTTTTTCTTTTTCTTTTCCAGGGCTGAGGACCAAACACAGGGCCTTGCGCGCACCGGGCGCCCTTCCGCTGGGCTAAACCCCCAACCCCTACATTTGCAATTTTCAAGCTTAATGACTTCTGTATGGATATAGCATAATGGTTAATTTTAGAAGTATTAATAATTGTAAATTGTATTATAATACACTTCATTGTGCATGTATCATGTGTTGGTTGTTAATTAAAATGCAATATGAGAAGGGAAATTGCAAGGGTCTGTTATTTCCCAAGTGCCTTCTGACATATGAGAATACTGGTTTCCTCACATCCTTACCAACTGTTTACATTTTTATCATCTTTACTAATCCAGGAGTTAATAAAGGCAAAGTATTGCTGTTGTGGTTGATTGTCTATGGTTACTATGTTACTTTCATAGAGTGGCTCATCCATTACCTGTTTTTATATTGGGGTGTTTGTCTTTTTATGCTGATTTGTTAGAGCAATTTTCTCCTAAAGATAATAACAATTTGTCAGAAGGTGCAATTTTTTAATTTGTCATTAATGTATGGTAGTTATTTTCTTCTTTACACTTGCATCTACATACCAAATTGTATACAATGAATATATATTACTTCTATAAACTTAAAAAGTTATTAATAAAAATAATATCAGTGCTTGGCATTTAGGATTTGATTATAAAATACATACTTTTATATAAGTAATTTATTATAATTATTCTAGGATTATTGTGCTGAATCATAGTTCTTCTAAACTTTGCAATAAGAAATGTTATATTCCATAATATAATTACAAAACTTCATAATTATTCCAAAATGCATATTGCATGAAAACTACCAGAAATCATTAATCTATTAAGATTAAAAAAATAAATGAATAAATAAAAACATTAAACTAGTCTTACACAAACATGGTTTAGGGTAACTTCTTCTCTGATGTGCTTTCAGAAAACTCATAAATTATGTAATTTTCAATGTTAATTTATATAAGGTATAAGTATATACATTGACGTTATTGTAATACTGGAAATAAAAGTTAACATACCAGTTACTAGTGGCTCACACCTGTAATTCTAGTTACTAAGGAGGCTGAGATCTGAGGATCATGGTTTGAAATCAGCCAAGGCAGGAAAGTTTGTGAGACTCTTATCTCCAATAAACTACTCAGAAAAAGCCAGAAATGACACTGTGGCTCAAGTGGTAGAACACTAGCCTTGAGCCAAAGAAGCACAGGAACAACACCTAAGCCATGAGTTCAAGCCCCAGGTCTAGCATTTAAAAAAGGTTGTAACAATGAGATGTACAAGACACTATGTTGAAAAACAAACTTTATAATTTAGGTGGAGGGAGGGAGTGTAGTTGTGGAGGTGTTGGAGGTGGGAGGGAAGGGATGGTAGGGGAAAAACAAAGGAGGAGGCAACCATGCTTGATAGAAAATGTACTCATTACCTTGCTCATGTAACTGTAACCCCTCTGTAAAGTATTTTTACAATAAAAACATCTTTAACATATTTAAAAGAAGGTTAACAGGTGCTGAATCTTTAATTCCTTTGGTAGCTATTATTTTTCTAACTATATAAATGAAGAGATTGAGTTTTCCGATCAAATAAAAATATCCTTGGAAAAAATACTTGCCAATATATGACAGAACAAATTCAGTCAGTCTTATATAACCTCAAAACACATTCTTCTCCACTACACATGTAGTGGCTGCACTCCTGAACTAGTTATCTCTGTTAGCCATTTTACTTTCATAATTATTTTTCCACTAAAAAAATATTCCAGAAACTTTGGTTGTTCCTTTTGTTTCACATAACAACATAGGGGGATTTTTTTTCTAATACTTGGTTTGAACTCAGGGACTTACACTCATTCAGCTTGCTTGCTCAGTACTAGCACTCTGATATTTGAGCCAGTCCTCTAGCCCATGTTTTCGCTGGTTGTTTTGGAAAGGTGTATCATGGGCTTTTTTGCCAGGCTCATTTTGAACTGTGATTCTTAAGATCTCAGCCTCTTGCATAGGTAGGCTTACAGCCATGAGTTACCACTACTCATTGCTTAGAGAGAATTTTAGAATCACTCCGATTTACTTTCATGAAATAGCAGGAGTGAGTTATAAGCAAAAAACAAAAACAAAAACAAAAAAAACATGTAAGTCTAAATGTTATAAGAGACACAGGAGAAAAACCAACAGGTTTTGAGGTATATACTAAACATTTTTAAACAAATGTCTTTAGATAAATATAATTGCACAAAAGATTTTACAAGTATTTATAAATTTCGTGGGTATTCATAATATTTCCAGGTTATAGTTTTCAAATAAAAATTGAGCCCATGATGTTTTGTGCATAATTTTATAAAATTACATAGGCTTTCAAACCAGATGTTGGTGGCTTATGCCTATAATCTTAGCTACTCAGGATTGAGATCTGAGAATTGTGGTTCAAAGCCAGTCTGGGCAGGAAAGTCTGTAAGACTCTTATTGTCAATTAATCACAACAAAGCAGGAGGTGGAACTGTGGATCAAGTAGTAGAGTGCTAGCCTTGAGGAAAAAAGATCAAGGACAGTGACAGTGAGTTGACCCCTGAGGACCTGTGTGTGCATGCGCGCGCGCGCGCGCACACACACACACACACACACACACACGACTAATCATACTACATTGAAAATCGTGGCTTATTTAAATAATTTTATAGTTTATACATAAAAATTTATAGCATATATACTTTAATAGATATTTATATTATGTATAATCAATAATTAAAATAAAATAGAATAATATTATGTACACATGAAACAGCTATCTAGCCGCCTAGCAACCTCATTTGTCCAGAACACAACACACATGTCACAAGATTTATGTGACAACTCTTAATAGCACAGTACCAAAGCTTAAAATCCACTTTCTTTGATTTTATAATTTGATGAAAGCTGGACTAATACTTTACAACAAATTAGAAGCAACAAAATAGAAGGGACATTTGGTGGTAGAGATTGTTAATGGCAGGGACCCTGGTAGCACTAAAATTAGGAAGGTTCACTGAACATTTTTCATTAAAAAGGAAAAATAGAAAGGAAAACAAAATCAATGTAAGAAATCACTGAATAGCCATCTGTGTTCTTTAACAAATGGGAAAATAGATCCATATACCTTATCAAGTTGTAAGCATTATTATTTTATAGCACAATATCATAAATGGTTTCCATAATGAAAAACCTGAGTCAGAAGGGGTTTATTTCCCATGTTCTCTAAGAAAGAAAAGCACAAAGTATATATTTAAGAAATGTTCACTATTAACGTGTTGAAAATAAAGAAAATTCATTGTTTGAGGAGAGGGTCTCAACAAATTAAATTTTAACTGGTGTTTTTCACATGTAATATCCAAAATTTACCTAAGCTTATCATATGTAAATATTCCCCATTTTAAATGCCTCACTGATGAGAAGGAAAAAAAAAGCAAGTCAAACAAAATGATATGAAAATTTGAGTTAAGGAACTAGTAAAGCTACACTGCACAGATTTAAAAACAAAAAACAGGAAAGGCCATCGAATCACTAATACTTGTGTACAAAATTCTCTTTTAGTTTTCTCTTAAAAAGTCACTGTCTCATTAAGCACAGCTCACGTTTGTAATCCTAGCTACTCAGGAGGCTGAGATGTGAGGATCACCGTTGTAAGCCAGTCCTGGAAGGAGTTTATAAGAATAATATCTCTCATTAACTATCAAAAAGGCTGGTAGTGGAGGTGTCCCTCAGGAAGACTTCAGGAACAGTGCTCAGGCCTTGAGTTCAAGCCCCAGGACCAGCAAAGAAAAAAGTTACTGTCTCTAAATCTCTTTTCCTTTTTCTATACATTATTTATTTTCCTGCTCCCTACCCCATTGTATTTGTTTGTGCTTCCATGTTTCAGTCTTTTCAGTTCTTTGCACATTGGGATCAAATACTTCAAATAGTAGGGCATGAGTTCTTTGGAGAATTGTAACATATTTTAATAAAATCATAAAGAATGTTTTTTTCAAGTAGGTTACATTATGTTAGCAAAATATAGGGAGAAGGATTATTAAGTGGTAGGTTTATAAACAACTGCCTGTTTTCTAAATAAAAAACAATCAAAATTGTCTTGAGATTCAAATATGGAAGACTGAATTTCTGTAAAATTTACGTATTGCTAGAATGGAATTTTTATTTTCTTGAGATGAATCTGCTCTACACAAATCCCTATATTTTTGCAATATTTTACTTGTAATCCTTCATTCTAAAAATTTATATCTATCATCCTCATTGTTTTAGATTTTACATCATTTGAGGCATAAATATATATACTTGCTTTCCAAAAATCCCAATATTCAGGCACAATCAAGGAAGTTATAAGGACAAAGGTTCTAAGTTTCTGCCATAACAAATTACGAATATGAAAGACAGTGCAACTGCCTGCGAAGGCATTTTACTTTAAGTCAAGAATAAGACAAAAGGGAAAAAACAATTAAAACAAGGAAAATTAAAATAGCAAAATGTTTCTACTATAAAATTTAATCTTATGGACTTGGAATATTTTATATTACTTTTTCTAAGGCAATTAAACATTTTCCTCTGTGGGTTGATAAAGGGAATTTCAAGTACTGCAGTTACAGTTACAAAACATATTTCTAGTTCTTAAACAAATATGAGCATGACATTTGTTATCAACAAACAAGAAACATATTCTGGATATTTCCCCCCAGAATTAGTGTCTTAATTTCCTATTTGAAAGTTCAGCTCTCCTTTAGCCTTTAAGAAATACTTTCTAAGGAATTGGGCTTATTGAAAAATTTTTATTTCTAGGCTTTGATCGTACATAGAAAAGCAAAATGAAGTCAAACAGATATCTTTTCTTTTTTTCCAAATTAGCCTAATAATCTCCAAAGATAGGAAGTTGCTAATCTTTTGATCACTAGGGTTTCACATCTAGAGGAGCGGTACCATTTACACAAACATGAAAGGGCCCACACATTCAATAAAATTTGTGACTAGTTATGTTAGATTTATCTCTTGCCTCCTCTTTATTGCTTTTTAATTGCTTTTATGAGAGTGTACTAGTTCTGAATTTTTTTTTACAGCTGAGTAACTGTGGTTGTGATAATTTCCTCCCTTGGGATGTCTTATTCCTTCCTTGATACACATTAAGATGCATACATTTTATTTGGGAGGATAAAGTATTCACAAAACTTGATTAGATTTTTCTGAAAAGATAAAAATATTAAAATCATAAATGCTCAAGGAAAAAAATCTAAATACAGCAACAACAAAAACAAAAAATCCACAAGACACAGAGATTTCTCTTGGAAAAACCCTTTTTTTTTAGCATCACTTGTGGAGGTTATATCTAGATTAATTGAAATTTTAAGGGAAGCATAAGAGCAACAATTAATCCTAAAGGTATTTACTAGTTCAAAAAAGCATAGATATTTAGAAGAAATATCCACTCTGTAAAGGTTTTCGTGTTTCCAAGTATTTATAGGAACAAATATATAAAATAGTACTGTTAGGCCAGGGAAATGAAGCTGTTTATAAAGTTAGGACTTTCAGGTCCTAAATGGCCTTTAGGCAAACATAACATGTAATACAAAGCTATACATTTGTGTAAGACCTCAATACTTACCCTGACTACACTGAAGTCCAGCTTAGTCTCCTGTGCACACTGTAATATGAGCTGAAAGCAATTTTTACTTTGATTTGTCATTCCATTTTCATAATAACGTTGTAAAATCCTTTGTTGCTCTACAGTAAATACAGAACGCAGATTCATCTAAAAATAAAAGAAGATACTCTGAAAATTGGAATAAAAATTTGGTATGTGTAGAATGTGTATACTTTGGGTTTTTTGTTTTTGATACAGTTTCAGAGCTCTGAGCTGCAAGATTTTTTAAGTGAATTAATCTCCAGTAATGAGCAGTAATTTGTGTGCTAAAGACAGACAGCTTCTCAATGAAAAATATGCATAAAACACTACTGAATTTGTTAAAAATACCAACTTTACATATGAGAAAAGTAAAAACAAACAAGAAATGAAAAAAGGGGAAAGCTCTTATCTGGTTTGTGTCAGTGCATAGGAGAAAAAGGTTCTTTCCCTGAAATAAATATTTATGGCTAGTAAAGCCAGAGATGGTAGTAGCCATACAAGGTCAATTATCAACAGGGGCACTTACTGTTCTTTGTCAAGCAAAGCATCTGGCATATGTCTTAAAGTCAGAAGCTGTGCTCTGAAACAAAAGGGTATTTTCTTTTTTCCCCTTTCTGCAATAAAGAGGTTATTTTATATATTAAAATAAAATGTCTCTTAAAGTACAAAAATAAACCAGAAGCTTTAATGTCTCAAAATGTCTTGCTTTAAGAATTATTTTTAAATGATTATTTTATTAACTATAATATGGAAATGAAAATTCAAAATCAGTGAATTCTACCAAAAATAAACCATGCCAAAACTACGTGTTGTTAAATTAAATTTATACCATCCTTATCAGAAAAGATAAGTTAAATTTTTTTCTATCAATAGACAAAGTGTTTAACATCAAGGGGAAAAATTGTGAATCTCATAAATAAAAGTGAAATCAAACTATATATTAAAAGATGAACTAAATTTTTTTCAAAAGAACTCTTGCAATATGATTAAGGAAATTTAAGGTTCTTGTTAAAAGTTTTCATACTGAAAATATCATTTCTAAAAGTTGCAAAACAGAAAGCTTTTTCTAAGTAAAATTCCTCTTGGAAAGTATGAAAACATTTGCAACAAAACCACCATGAAACAAACCAAACAGAAAATTTCATAGTGTACAATGTATTGAAAAAAAGTATGTCTGAAATGGAAATAAAAATATTAATTCCTTTCTTCTGGGTACTTGAAATAACAAGGACATCTAATAAGGCATTTTTTTGCCTGACTCTTTTTTGCTAATAAAGTATGTCGAACAAATGTGAAAGATCTGATTAGAAGAAATCAGATGTGGGAGAGGGTAAAGAAAAGATGAAAGTGGAGTTTCTCCATTAAATATTCAGAAACAAAGAACTTCCTGAAGAGGGGTGGGTCATGAAGGCAATATACTAATGTACTAGGATGAAATTCTTACCTGCAAGCTGACCAAATATTCAAGGATGCTTGAAGCAGGGATAGGGATAGTATTCATCAAAGTAATTTTATTGTCATGGCTGCCATTTTACAGAGCAATTTGATGTACATTTCCCCAAATGGTTCTGCCACAAATACAGGAGATGGTCCAGAGAATGGAGGTAAAAATATCAGAAATACCTCTTCTGGTATGGATTTAGAGGCAAAGTACTTTGGAATGGGTACTGAGGTGGATAACGATCTTCAGTCTATGAATACATAATTAGGGTCATGGCTCTGGTCTTCTCTTCAGTGACAGACCTACTGAAAAGAGCCAAATGTAATGATGCCCCAGTAACATAGGAATGCCCTCTCATTGGTTGGCTACAACTTTTACTAATCCAAGAATGATAAGAACTTACAAAGTACAGCAAAATTACAGTGGATTGTTCCTCACTAAAAGCCCACAGTCAAATGCAGGTAATACTGTACTAAGCTACTATTGTCCAAATCTATAATTTGGAAAATATTCAATGCTGAGACCTTTTAAGTTTAAATTCAGTAACCTTCAGTAGAAAGGCCACTTTTCTCAAGATAGCTACAATTTTTCTTTCAAATTGCATGAAATTCATTCTTTTTCATTCATTCACAGCAACTACATAAACCCATTTAAGCAAGATAACTTGTTATTGTCCTCACGTACCCTACTTATCTTGGTCTAAGATATTAAATGACAGCACAGAACGTTTTTTAACTATTTGGGAAAAACATAAGCAGAGAGCTTAAAAATATTCACTTTGAGTGTTGATTTCTTATTTATGTCATTGGTTCCATAAGAACAGGGCTCATTGGGCTGCAGTGGGAAAGCTAGTTGAATTAGGAGATTAAATGTTGAAGTAATAAGTAATTTAAGTATACTCCAAGATTTCTGAATCTAACCCTCTATGTATCTTACCACCTACTCGGCACATGCCAGTTATAGGAATAAGATGACCTGTGTTCTGTGCTTAGCTCCACTGCTGACAATTTGATAAATCATTTAATTTCCTGAGCATCCATTTCCTAGACTGTAAAATGCTAGGTTATACAACTTTTCTTGCTTACCAATCTCAGTTGCTACAAAATAAGATGTGAACTCATTTTCTGTATTCATTCATTCATTCATTCATTTTTGCCAGTCCTAGGGCTTGAACTCAAGTCTTAGGCTCTGTCCCTGAGCTTTTTTGCTCAGGGCTAAGGCTCTACCACTTGAGCTACAGCTACTTTTGGCTTTTGGTAGCTAACTAGAGATGAGACTCTCATAGACTAGCCTTCCTGGTCTGGCTTTGAACCATGATCCTTAGATGTCAGCCTCCTAAGTAGCTATAATCACAATCATGAGCTACCAGCACCCATTAGTGAGCTCATTTTTCTTGAATTGTAAAGCATGTAAAAATCATCATGTTTTATATTTAGTATAAGTAGGCATTGAGTTTCTCTGTCATTTTCAGGTATGTACCTTCCAAGGTTCCTCTCAGATTTAGGATTCAGTGTTTTAATGAGGACTTAGAGCAATTTAGAAAGATAAATTATGCTCAGCACATACTATTCAAGAAAACAGAATTATGAATAATTATTTTAGATTTATTGTTTTGGAAGTACTAAAAACATACAGTTTGTGAGAGTGACTGCTTCCTTAGAGGCTTCTGATAACTAAGGCCATATTTTATGGGGAAATATTTCAGACACATTCAGATATAATGCTGCTCTTATTTATTAAATGCCAGACCTAAGTCATTGCTTTAATAATGCCATAACTGATTAAATCATTTGAAATGTATCTCTAAATTACTCATACTCATTATCTAAAAGCTTGATTTTTAAAGTGGAATGTATTCATAAAATCATTACCAATTAAATTGTAACACATTCTTTCCAAAATAAAAATGTAAATTCCAGGTGGGAGCTGGTAGGCCATATCTGTAATCCTACTTAGACTGGAGGCTCAGACCTGAAAATTTCCATTCAAAGCCAGCAAAGATGGGAAAGCTCTGGACACTTATCTCCAGTTAAAAAGCAGAGTGAGTAGTGGAGATATGGCTCAATTGGTAGAGCACTAGCTTTGAGAAAAAACTCTGAGGGACAGCTACCAGGCTCCTCACCAACAAATAAATAGATAACTAAGTAAATCTGAATTTAAAGTGAAACATTGATAGTTTTGTTTACAAAGTGTGAAGCTGAGACATATAACACCTCATATATCTTTTTCTGGTTGGAGGGAGAGGGTAGTCCTGGGGCTACTCAGAGCCTGTGTGCTGTTCCTGAGCTTTCTTTGCTTAAGGCTAGCACTCTTAACACTTGAGCCATAACCTTTTGGTGCTTAATTGGAGATAAGAGTCTAACAAACTTCCTTTCCAGAATGGCTTTGAACTGAACTGTGATCCTCATATCTCAGCCTCCTTAGTACTAGGATTACAAGAGTGAGCCACTGGAGGCCATATATATATATATATATATATATATATATATATATATATAAAACTTTATTATATTTATATGGTATTTTTAAGTCAAAATTTTAGGAAGAGCCAGGACTAGTGGCTCTCATCTGTAATCCTACTCAGTAGGCTGTGATCTGAGGATTGCAGTTCAAAGGCAGACTGGGTAAAAAAATCCATGAGACTCATCTCTGATTAACCACCAAAAATCCAAGGGAGAATACAAGGCCTTATCCAATGCTAGCACACATGTGCACACACACACACACACACACACACACACACACACACACATCAGATCAATGATTTCAGAAGATGGGATGGTGTGAGGGGTGAATTAAAAGGACAGCACAGGAAATTATTTTGGAACTATAAAACTATTTTGGTCTCAATTATGCTGATGCATTCATATTATATGTGTATACTGGTGTTTGTGTATTATGGTTATGCATTCATGATTATATGTGTATGAATGTATGTATGTAAGTATATATAGATTAAATAACAGTCTCATGCTCTCATTTTTGCCATGCATAGCTGGTACTCTACGATTTGAGCTATGCCTACAGCTTGTTACCTAGAGAGAAGAATCACCAAGATTTGTCTGTTCAGGCTGGCTTCAAATCATGATCCTCAGAAATCAGCCTCCTGAGTAGGTAGGGAATATGAGTTTGAGCCACTAGCTCAAACTATACTTTTTTATTTTTAGTCTGTTATTTACAGGTAAAGTAGATTCCTTAATCAAGCACTGAGTTTACAAATATGACAATGTGGAAGTGGCGTTGTGGCTCAAGCAGTAGAGCCTTGAGCTCAAGAGCTGAGGGACAGCACCCAGGCCCAGAGTTCAGGCCCGATGACCGACCCCCCCCAAAAAAAAAGAAAAAATATGACAATGTATCTTTTTTGAGGGGAGCAAAAGTACTGTGGCTTATACTCAGAACTACGTGCTTGCTCACTGAACTGGTACTCTAACACTTGAGCCATGCTTCTAGTTCTGCTTTTTGCTAATTAAAGAGAGAACATTTCTTCCACCTATATGCCTCTGTTTCTCAATCTCTTGATAGTTTAGAATTACAGATATAGGCTGACCATGTGTTTAGACCACTTAAAGTTAATTACTGATATTCTTGGTTTATATACAGTATTTTATGTCATTCTCTCTGATTGACCCTGCTGTTTTTTTCTATTTTTCATTTTTCAAACTTGTTTGGTTTATGTGAATAGATT